TTAACAAAATATTGACAAAGTTTTGTGCACATTTGCAATAGAAACACAGCTACTGACTCACCTTTCTTACCAGGAATGACCTGCAGGAAAGCTGCAGACCCAGTTGATTGGCTTCCACTGATGCTTGGTATGCTGACCCTGCTCAAACAGTTCCACTCGAGATATACACAACAGTTCCTGGCTCTCATTGGTCAGTTCATCCGCTCTGTAATGGACCAGTGCACGAGGTAATGGTGCAATCTTACATGCATTTTGTTTAGTTGTGAATATTTGGAGTATCTGATTGGTGCGTACAACCTCGTGAATTCATATTTTTCGTAAACTTCTGTTACAGCCAGAAAATCCCTGACATGCCTTCAGATGTGGTCGGAGCCCTGATGTTTCTTGAAGACTACGTGAAGTACACAAAACTCTCACGAAAGGTAGGATGATATTGCCCTTTGTAGTACTCTTAAAATGTTTTCATAAAATGACAGAAAATGTGAGCTGTATCGAGACAATTACTCAACATTTTTATCTCTTTAACAATAAATGTTTTGCTCTTATTACAGTATATTAAACTCTAAACCTTTTGACTGTATTTGCGATAGTAACATACAGCTTTTTATTGTTTTCCTTCTGAAGGTGGTTGAAGCTCATGTGCCCAGTTTCATTTTTGATGAGTTCAGAACAGTATTGTGACGACCTGGATGGAGAATTTCCACCTGAAGATTTATTTTTGTCACCAACAGGTGCTTCTCTTCTGTACACTTTTTACCTTTTATTAGTGGAGAAAACAAATGTGTCTATAATTGTTTTGTCCATTCAAAGATTACAGTAAGCATCAATGGTGTCCTTGATTTTTATATTTTTATCTGTACTTTTCATACAGTGACAGTTCAAATGCTCTTTTTACAGCAGCATCTTAATATGTCAAAACAGAAGAAATACGTCTGTATTAATACTTTCTCTACAAGAGGTAACATCTCAGCTGGTTTGCCTACATTTCATTGTTTAATCTAATAACATTTTTGCACTAATAATACATTGAACATTGATTTTGCTGTGATTTAACTTCATGTATAAATATTATGTGCCATTTGTTAATGAACTGTGTCAATAAATACGATTCCTCATAATGTGCTGTCCAGTTATTTATTCTGGGTGTGGCTTTTACTTTTAAAACCTGTGCCTGGAAGTTAAAAGTTAGCCGGTTTTTGGAGTGTAGTTTATGGTTCAGCAGCAAAAACGCATTTAAAGAAATTAGAAATTATTCAACACCAAGCATTAAGGATCTGTACAGGAGCATTTAAGATCACACCAACAACAGCATTAGAAGTTAAAATGGGAGAAATTACCTTTAGACCTGAGAAGAACCCAAATGATGATAAACTACTGGCTAAATTTAAAAAGCAACAATACAGATCACCCAACACTAGACATTTTAAGTACATGCTGGGAAAAGGGAAAAGACAGGTAGTTTTGGGTGGGTGATTCAAGAGGAAACAGAAATATCAAATACATAATCTAACAATACGTCCAATGTTACCACTGTCAGTAATACCTCCCTGGATTCTGCCAGAACCTACAGTTGATTTGACATTAATGGAAAAGAAAAGAGATACATCATACATTTTCAACTCACAGACAGTGTAGGACTGTATAAACAGTAGGGGTGCAACGATACAGAAAATTCACGGTTCGGTTCGATACTTTAGTCTCACGGTTCGATGTTTTTTCGATTCATAAAAGAGAAACTTCCATGCCCATTTTAACTTGTAATTTATTTATATTAATTATGAACATTTGTTTAACCTCAAAAGTACAGTTTTTAAATTAAATGTTACTGAAACAGCAGGTTTCTCAGTGGATCTGCGCTCTAAAATGCAGCCAAGGTGGAGTAGTCGAACACAGATCCGCTGATCCTTCAACACAGAGCATCTTCAGAAGACAAGTTGATAAAGTAAATTTTTAAAATCTGTATTGTTCGATACAAGTGTGTATTGAACCTAAAGCACTGTTCGATACGGTTCGATACGGGTATATGTATTGTTGCACCCCTAATAAACAGTTATCAGTACATTCAAATATATACAGGTGCTTCAAAATCAATAGAGGAAACAGGAGTTGCATTTGTAATAGAATTTCTAATAAAATTAGCTAAAAGAATCACTGACAAGTTATCAGTTCATACAGGAGAAATGATTGCAGTATTATTAACCAAACAGTAGGTAGAAGAAGTAAAACCTATAAAAGCCACAATCTGTTCTGTTCAGACTTAAGTTCAGTTTTAATGAGTATGAAAAGCAATCACTCAGACAGCAGGCAGACATTTTACTAGAAATTAGTCACACACTATTCAGAATACAAAGGATGGGATTAATTGTTTTTTTTTTGTTTGTTTGGGTACCAGCACATGTATGGGGTAAGAGGAAATGAAAATGCAGATAAAATGGCAAAGAAAGCAGTTCAAAGTGACCAAGGATGGTACGAGAAACGAGAGCTGGAAAAGGGAGCAGAAAAGAAAGAGTGATAAAAAGGCTGAGATTTGGACATACAGGACTTAATTATACACTTTTTGTTAAAAAAAGTGTATAATTACATTTCCCTGTATTATGTACAAAAACATAATACAGGGAAATGTGATCACTGTGGACAAAATTAAGCCACAGAGCACGTTATAAAAGAATGTCAGAAGTACAAACAAGAGAGACAATTTATGATAAGACAGTTCAGAAACATTAAGGAAAGGTTTGACATAATGGACACATTACAAAGGAATTTAGGAAGCAAACATGCAAACCATGATAGGACTTTTGAAAAAGACAAAATTGTTTAACAAAATTTGAGTTTGATAGTAGTTTATTTA